ATAGATAGATAGATAGATAGATAGATAGATAGATAGATAGATAGATAGATAGACATAGTGCAAGTCCTCATTGGTAATGTGCTGCATCTTTCCATTGGTCTATGGTTCACTTATTACTTTGATACTTTAGAGATCTTGGTGTTCACAGCCATATAGCATCATTGGAAAACTGTGGGTATAAAATAGATAGGTTTTTATGTCAAGGAGCAGCTTAGAATTGTAGTAAGTTCTGCATAATATCCCAAATGCAATCCAGCCTGCTTTCTTCCTTCAAAACACAATTGACTAAAAGGTATAAAGAATGAATGAATAATTAAAAAGCATTTATTAAGTACTTAATATATGCCAAGAACTCTTCTGGGAATAAAAATACAAGGAAACATGATAGTCCCTTACCTAAAGAAACTTACGTTCTAATGGAGTGAGACAGCACATACGAGTTAGTTAGAGTGAAGTTGGGTGGATAGGGTGCAACTGAGAGCATGTGTGGTAGCATAGTTTGGAACTGGCTGGGAAGTGGTATGGTGATTTGGTTCTGTGCAAGATAAGGTAAAAGCTCACCAGGATCTAGTGTCTGAATTCCAGAGGAAAGAGGAGGGCCAGAGTGGGCAGAACACGGATGATGATCTAGCAAATGAACCTGAGGAGGAGTGGTCAGACAAGAAAGAGGAAAGCAAATTGAGGGTTCTTCCTCTTGCCCCATCACATGAATGTTAGTTTTTGTCTTTTAAGCAGTAAAGCAAGGTTTCATTTGAATTTCTTTGCTAAACCCATTATACAAACAAGAATAATATTTTTTATTTAAAATTTTTTTAATTTAAATTTTTTTTAAATGAGAAAGAACAGTGTTATAAAGTAGAAGCAGAAGAAAGAATCCAGGAACAGCTGGTGGTCAGTGTCATCAAAAGCTGTAGCATTGTCCATAAAAATTGAGAATGGGCTATCAGGTTTAGTAATTAAGATATTGATAACCTTGAAGAGAATACTTTTTGCTGAATTGTAAGGTAGGAAGCCAAAAGGTGGAGAATAGAAAGTGGGAAGGAAATGAAGATAATGAGTACAGATAGCTTTTTCTAAGAGTTTGGTTGTGAAAGGAAGGAAAGAAAGACTAATAGTCTTAGAGGATGGTAGTGTCAGGTGAAAGTTGTTTGTTTTGGTTTTCAGATGGCAGAGAAGTGGGCATGTTTTGTAAACAACAGGTACCAGGAGATAAAGAAAGATTGAAATAGAGACAGGAATGCTTGAAAGAGGAAAGCTTTTGGAAGAAATGAGAGGGAATGAGATAAAGGGAACAAGTAGAAAATACAATATCCAACTAAATTTATTGTTTCTTAATTATTTTTTAAAAATTAAAAAAGTTAGAAAATTGTAACCCAAAAGGCTCTCTTTCAACAAGTTATTTCCCATGCTAAGACCTTCTATGATTGATGCAACCACAGAGATAACTTTGTTTGACTATTCTCAGCTCATTATGAGGAATATAAAACAGGCTTATAATGATCACCAAAGGTATTTACCACCACTGTGGAAGTCCAGAGTACAAATGGAAGTTATTCCCTATAAATGGTAATATCCTCCAGATTTTCTCACTTATAGATTATATTGTACTATATGTATCAAACCCCAGAACACCATGCAGCCTTTTCACTGAGGTCTGCAACCATTCAAAAGAAATCAGCCAAACAATCCACACAAGAAAAACCAAATGGATGCAGATGGACTGATCCAGTGGATCTTAACCCTAAAAGACATGTGATCAACTAATCTCAGGCTGTGAAAACAACTTACATACCACCCTTCTCCACAACTGCCAATCATGAGGCTTATCTCTAACACCAGCTCACCTCCCTATCTCTTACTCCATCCCCTCCCTCTTTTGTGCAGCCTTGCAACTTTCCCCATCTAAACCAAGCAGCAGCCCTTCTGTCCAATCACAGAGCCATCACCCTAGCTCATCAACTCTCACCTGCTTCTTTGCAATAATCTTTTAATTGGTCTCCTTGCCTTACGTCTTGTCCGTGTTCCAGTCAATCTTCCACACAGCCACCAAAGTGATTTCCTAAAGCATAGGTCTATCTGTATCACTCCCCTTGTTCAGTAAACTCCCTATTGACTCTAGGATCAAATATTCTTTTACCTTTGTCTCATCCATTCTTTATTTCTGTTTTGTTCCAGTTTGATAATGTATGTAATTTATAAGTAGTTAAATATACATAGGTGCATGCACAGAAATTTTTTATTCGTGGGGTTCTGTGATCAAAAAAACTTTAGAAAATCATTGGTCTCATACATGTACTTGGATAGGTAGATTATTGGGTTAGTGAGTATATATATATATGTGTGTGTGTGTATGTTGCATATACAAAGACTCAGAATTGCCAAATTCATCCTAGCTGCTTTTAATGATATATTAAGTTTTAGTGATTATTAATTTAATGATTTTCTCAATGATTATTGATTTTGATTCTAAATGTTCACAGACCATCCCTTTTAATAATATATTCTTAAATTTTGTCAGGAATTGAAGTCAAGCATAACATTTTCACCATTCAAAATATTGCCAATCTTCCTTTTTCTTTTCTTAAAGTTTAAGGCAGCATTTGCCTATTTCCAGTCCTATAGCATGTTACCTATTTATCATAATTTTTCAGAGATTACCAACAGTGGTTCACCAGCAAGTTCTTTCTGTTTCTCTGGAATATAATTCATCTGGACTAAGTGATTTGAATTCATTGAGAGCAGCTAGGTACTCTCTCATCATGTCCTCACTTTGTGTTGGGTTTCAGGTCATTGGTTAACCTTTCTTGTTTTGTCCTTCCAAGGCCAAAGATTGATCTCACTAGTAGATAAAAGAAAGGCAAAAGAAAAGTTGAATATTTCTGTTAGTTTCCATATCTATTATCATTTCCCTATATCCTCTGAATGATTGTCTCTTGTTGATTCAACTTGACTTGTTGACTTGATTTCTCATATTCAACCTATTTATTGACATGAGGGTCATTATCAACCATAACACACAAATTATTCATATAGGATCATGCCATTTAATCCCAATTACCTACCCTTGCTTACATCTTCTCTGTGCATCTTTTTAAATTCTATGTTGATCTATGACATCTCTCTGCATGTACTACATTGGTGTCTTTAGACAAATCCTCCTTTTCTTCCTCATTAAAATCCCATCCCTCTGGAGAACATTCACATTCTTTTGGCCATGAAATTCTATCCTTTCTCTATAGTCTTTGAAATTCCGTCTCTTAAAATCTGTGGTATAAGTCAGACTGTGCCTAGTTTTTCCCTCCTTGTTTTGCTAACAGGAGCCTTTACTGTCCTGAGGAACATGCTTCACAATGTGTTATGTGCTTAGCTACCAAAACTCCTAGATGGTGATGTATAAAGTATTGAACAGACCCGTGTGACCAGCTATAATGGCAAAGGCCACACAGTTACAAATGCGAGCAGAGGTATGAAAGTAGCTCATCAGTACTTGACCCTCCTTTAGATGCAAGAATTATGCCTGAAATATGGACACCAAGCCATCAAATGCCTGATGTTGTTGGATCAGTTCTAGTAAGTTGAATGTCTGTAAGCTTCCTGCCAAGATGGCTGATTCATTAAATATATAATACTGGTTTCCACTAGAAACCATATATATCTTTTTGCTTTGTTTTTGTTTTTGTTTTTTGTTTTTTTGCGAGGCAGT